GCCCATGCTTGACGAGTTAAGGACGCCTTTCATAAGGCACCCTTGGGACAGAATAAGGGAGGTTTCTGATATGCACCTTCTACTTTTCTTATACTTTTCTCGTTTTTTCGTGAGTAGCTTGACTGCAATAAGTTAAGGTCAGTTCATGAATACAACAGTTATAATTGCTTCTAGTAACACTTGCTCCAAAAGCCATCTTTGCCTTCTCCAAAACAATCTAAGCCAGTAGCATCACTGTACTCTTTTAACGCTTCTACACGTCTGTGGAGGGCAGGCTGAGCAGGTTGCGAAGTGAGCGAGAACAGGTCCTAAACACGGAATGAATCGCGAATTATCAAAGTCAGTGGGGTAGTGCAAGCGTGTGCACTGGAACGATAAGACACTGATCCAGATAAGACACAAATGCAGATAATCGAGTTCAGTCGGCGGCCCGCGATGTTGCAGATAGTCTGGTCACTGAAGGTCGGCCACGTTAATGATAGTTCAAAAACAGCGATCAAAAACTGAGGAGAGGCCATTCGAAGATTGGTCAGCCAAAAGATCGGTGGCAGTGTGCAAACACTGGCCTCGTCTGGCAATATTGGGTGCTCAAAATAGTGGGGGGGGAGAGGGGATAATGGTTTGGGGAGCGACAACTGGAAAACTGGGGAGGCACTTTCCTGATGGCTTATCGGTGGTCGAAAGTGGTGTCCCGGAAAGTTGCCCGAGCACCAACTTTGTTCCCTGTAACTGATCGGCGACGCTGAGAGACGTTCATTGTAAGTGCGGTTTTGTACCATTGAAATAATGTGTATTCCCTTGGTCACACTGGTATTATTTGTTTTAAGCGAAAGTTTGTTTTAAGTGGGGCTGTTATATGTGGGCTCAACTGTATTTTGTGCCACTGTTCATCTCTTCTCAGTAAATGGAACTCGTGTTAAATAGAGCATACTTTTCTGGTTCATTAGGGTTCTGTTTAACGAGAGTCCACTTTAATACAAAGACAGATTGCAGAAAAAAAAGAGAGAGAAAAACATTATTTGCGCATAACGCGAAGCATTGCGAATGGTCGGGCTTCTATTCCAGGGCTCCGCTGGCCCTTGCCATCTTCTCTGCCTGTTGGATCAGCCAAAGCTTATCATCATAGGCCAAGCTGGACAGAAGTGCCTCCAATGGTTCCTCTGTGTTGTTCATACTGCGGTGGCCTTTATTGTGACGTGTGCACTTCCACGTAATGTGAAACCGAGTTGGTGTAGCCCCGCACCTCGGACATATATCTTTGTATACTGTGGGGTAGAACACATGTAGCCTGCATTGCTGTTGCACCCCTGAGCAATGCACAATCGGCCTTGCACAACGTGGCGGTGGTGAACTTTCGAACGGCAGCAGGACGGGCTTATGTAGCCGTCACTGCACATGGTTTAAATACATTCAGCTGAGCAGGTACCCGCAAATGACTGTGATAGGGTTGTCGGTGATGAGTCAAAATGGCACGTTCATCGCCACCTCGCCTTCACTCTCTTATGATGCTTATCCACTAGGGCACCGTCGCAACGTCGCAGAAGTGTTTATCATTGATTGACCAGTCTGTGCCATTACCAAAAGGCAGAAGACCATCTGCGGCACACTGTGGTGTTGGCGAGTTGAGCGTCGCAGTGAGCTTTTATGTGACAAAAAGTTATCGCTTCATCCATTTAGGGTTTTTTTTCATTGGAAGGCATTGCTTGTTAATCATCGACTGTTGTAGATGCAGAGGACGGTGTCTGAAAAAGTAGAAGAGTTGAGAGCTGGGCAAGTTGGTGACAGTGCTTGAACATATTTTAACACAGCACACGACTGCACAGACACAAGAGAGGGGGGGGGGGGGGGAAACTGCAGCACTGACTCGTTACTGAATTTTTATTGGAACAGCGTGAATGAAGAGTGTAGTTTTTTTGTTGCCTAATAAGTTGAATAAGGTATGTGGTGTGATTGAACAGAAACTTAAGAAGTGCGTGCCAGGAGTATCCAAAGAACGTTGCGGGGTCACATACGTAACTTCATTTGTACAGTGCAGAAAAGGTATTGTGTATCTTTTGCCATTTTCCTGTGGTAGTGTATACATAGGCCAAACAAGTAAATGCATTAACATTAGGTTGTTGGAAGACGTTCTTTGCAAGGGAATGTATACTCACATGTGTCCCAACAATAGTGCCATTGCCCACCTGTCTGTCTGAAGCTGAAGTTTTATTAACACACAGCAATCAAACCATGCGAGAAATAGTTTAAGCATATAAAGTAGACCCTCAGTAAATAAATATCTGTTAAATGAAACTACTGCTTAAACGGGGCTATTGCCTCTGCAATGCTTGGTTTCGAGCTTGTATTCTGCACCCATGTTCACCTCTCAGTAAACGGAACTCCTGTTAAAACATTTTGCTGGTCCCTTGAAGTTTGTTTACTGAGAGTCTACTGTAACACAAAAAAGGGTGGTGGACAATGCATTAGCGTGTCTTCTATAGCCCTACATGATAGCGAGGTTAGGTTGTTAGATAGCACGATATCTTAACTTTTATGCTGCTGGAGAGTACACGTGAGATGTATCAAGGTTTTTTCATTGTTTTCAAAATGTCAGCTTATCTGCTTTTTCTCGCCTTAGTGTGGTCACATGGGTATGAAGGTTGGAGTGTTCCTTATTGGTTTATGTTTTTTTCAATAAAATTCTGTTGCAAGTCAGCGCTGCAGTTTGTCCACCCTTCTGCTCTTGTGTCTGCGTAGTTTGGCGCTGTGTTAAAATATGTTCAAGGTGTCTGAAAAATTAGTCGTGCGAAAGCTGACCGCAAGTCTTCATGCTGCCTCCCATTTCTCCTTTAAGCTGCCTCCTGGCTTCCTCGTTCACAGCATCCAAAATCTGCATGCGGTGCTCACTGCGCTCTATGATATTGTCATTGTGCGTGCCTTTTACATGCTATAAAATGCTTGTTTTAACCCATTTTTCTTTTTCTTCCCACTTCGTATGTGCCACATTTTTACCGTGACCTTGTTGAAAGTGTTTAAATTTAAAGTAGGAGGTTTCGTAAAATTTTTGCTATATGTGGATGTAGTTTCAGTAGCTTGTATAGGAAATCGTAAGTGCGCCGAAATATGGTGGTAATAACCGTTACATCAAAAGAGATGCTATACTCAATCTAGTGCCCACGTGTCTCGAGGTCTATTAGCTTCCCTGCTTTGAAGGAATGACACTTCAGCTTCTGTTAATGATAGTGAAGGAACGCCAACACAAATATCCATGCTGGCGTGGTGCATTGTGAATGCTTTGATGATTACTTTTTTTTAGTCATTATGACGTGATATTTTGCAATTTTTACAATTGACATTTACAATTACAATGATATTTTACAATGATATTTTACAATGATATTTTACAATTATGACGTGATGGTGCAATTTTGGATCACATTGACCCTATTGCAATGAGTAGCCATGTTTCCAAGATGAGTAATCTGCTTGCAGTTATAGTTATGCTCAAGCAGTCGTATCTTGATGCACCTCTCGATTTGTCAAATACATATACTTATTTCCACAGGAAATGGGGACATAATAGACAACTTCTTTTTTGGTCCAAATGGTGGACACTGCACTAATTGCTAGACCACTGCTGGTGGTTGTAGACTTTATGACATAGCGAGCTAATTTGCTTGGAGCCAGGAAAACCATGGGTATGTCGAACTTGTTCACAATTTCCTTTAGTCCAACAAAAATGTTTTGATTGATTGATATGTGGGGTTTAACGTCCCAAAACCATCATATGATTATGAGAGATGCCGCAGTGGAGGGCTCCGGGAATTTCGACCGCCTGGGGCTCTTTAACGTGCACCCAAATCTTAGCACACGGGCCTACAACATTTCCGCCTTCATCGGAAATGCAGCCACCGCAGCCGGGATTTGAACCCGCGACCTGCGGGTCAGCAGCCGAGTACCTTAGCCACTAGACCACCGCGGCGTGGTACGAAAATGTTTTGAATGTATAGTGACCTAAGCCATTTGTAGCTACACTCAGATACAACTCAAGAAAAAGGAGCAGCTTTTCATTGTCAAAGAACCCCCCTCCAGCCAATAGTTTCATGGCCGCTTTGTGGCACGCTTTGACACGCTGCTTTGTTATTCCTCTCATGAGCATGGCACTAAGGCGGTGAGTCGCGGGGTCATGATAACACAGCCACAAGGAGGCGGTCCATTGACGATAAAAAGCCTTTTTATTTTTTCTTGAGTTGTATGCAAGTATAGAAGCCTGATGAGCCAAGTGGGCAGATCAAGAAGAAGCGATTACCCAGATGATTTGATAGCATTCTTGGCTGGGAAGCGATTAAAAGGCTTCGCTAAGACTAGTAACCAGATTGACGAATGGCAAGAAAAAAAATCAAAAGAATGACCTATTGCGATTCCTTACATTAGTAAATGTGTATAAAAGATGCCACTCTGCTTCTATTGAAACAGGGCTGGACCAAAAATTACAATATGGTACCCTGGTTATAAGGGGCCTCTCCAGCATAGGGAACAAGAACTGCACCCTGGTGCATGTCTCTTATAAAGAGGTACAGCTGGAGACGTGTAAATGCTGCTGCATGGTCAAACAGCATAACACAAGGTCATACAAGGGGAGCAGTGGCTGCATCTGAAAATGGCTAACTTAGCAGGTTTTATTAGCTGTAGTTCATTATCATTGCGCATTAGTTTGTCATGTGTTCCCTGCCTGGGTGTTTATTTAGCCACCTTTTTGTGTGTGTTATCATTGCTCAGTATTTGTTGCAGCTTGCTGTTGAACCTTTGCATAATTATTGGTTATGACAAGCGGTTATGAAGGCCTTCTATGATCATGACTCGCAGTGGTATAAAACTCTTAAATTTAGTAACCTAATGTGAATTCTTGTGCATTTTAAATTCTCATTTTACCTCTGGTCCTAATTTTGGAATGCTCACTTCAGTGTAACAGTATAATACGTTTCAGTGACATCATTTCACACTTTGTATGTGTTTTTCAGGTACGTTTTTTCTGAAATTGATACATTGAAAGAGTCGGAAATTTCGCGAGACTGTCTAATTTCAAGGAAGAAGGCTACCTGCCATGCTGTGGTGATGTGGTGGGAACTAGAGATGGACAGAAAAAATAGCATTCGCTTGTCTACAGCACCATACTGGGCTCATCCTTCTGGCAAAGAACAACCAGTAAGTCTATAATTTTGACAGAGCTGTCTTTTGAAACCCGCTGAAAACTGCAAATTATGTTCTTTGCCCTCTTTGCATGTGCAAGTGATCAGTACCTGCACAATACCCGATTCAAAAAATGCAATTGTTTACCCCATGATTTTGTAAAAAGCATGGCTTTGTTAGGCTTAAAATAAAGTGGCTATTGAGTGCACAGTTCAGTTTGTCCATCTGGCAAACATGGGAGTATGTATAGTGAAAGCTCAATTCAAAGTTTTTTGTAACATGGACTAAGTAGCATGATCTGGCCAAGCTCCATAGAACTCTTAAGCCTTTTGCGACTGTCGACGAGTATAGTCATTACGAGCTTTTCTAAATAAAGGTAGATGACAAGTGTACTCGTCATCAATAAAAATTGGTTCCACACACAAGCAATGAATACTATACTCATATTTGAGTTTCTTGACACTAGATGGCCACAGTTGTAGATGTTGGGACATTTTTGTCTTGGCTATCATTTTACAGGCCTTTTTCTTTGTATTGCCATATGGTGAAGCGACCTTCAAATTTTCATTCTCTATGCGATTAGGGAAATGAAGAAATACCATTGAATTGAAAGAATGGTGCCATTACTCATAAAAAATAATAATAGCGCTACAAATCAAACAGAAAGAATTTTTCTCTGATTTTGACACTTTTTCCCCAAGTAAAAAAAAGGGTTGAAAAGCTTACTAGTTTGCACACAGATCAAACCTTCACAAATAATGTGAACTGCCTGCTGCTGTGGCTGGCTCACACACTGGTGATCACTTTCCCATTTACAAACAGGACATTACAATTTGCAGGCTCGACTGCCATCGTTGTCATGCTTTGATTGCTACAATCAGTGATAGCTCTCCTGTACATACAAAGTTATGTTTTGTGGTGAAAAGCACGTTGTGGCCTCTTTCTGTGTTCAGATTCATTATTTGAACTTGTTGGTTGCATCACCATCAACAGTCCACTGTGTTATGCATGGAGGCATGCACTTATTTATAGTAAGGAGCACAACCAAGTTTGGCAGCACAGCGGCAGAACTGTCTTACATCTTATCTTAGCAGTGAAGTATCATAACTTGGATTTAGAGGCAAGTGTTGGCTCTTGCTTTTCACTCACAGCAAACATGCTTTTCGGTAGGCTTGTGCGAATGTTCGAATGCTTTGAATATTGAAACGAATTGTAGAATATTCGAATTCGCTTCGATTCGAATTCACATCATCGAATATTTCAAAGTATTCGATATGAGCGAATAGGTTTACAGTGAACTCCCAACAAATTAAACTTTCTTAAACGAAAATGCTTCATTAACGAAACTAAACGGGCTCGTGTGGCTGGATTTTTATGTGTTGCGCAGTAAAATTCATAGGTTAATCGAAACAGTGCTTATTGGTTACCTAAGGGTAAACGGCACAAACTCTAAATGCTGCGTAGACTTGCTCATGCTAAAGGTAGTCTCACAACCATGGCAACACCTCGAGGTCGAGACAAGCCAATTCAGTAGCCATTCTCGCTTATGGCTGTGGGAGCCGAGTCAGCGAGTCGATTGTGCATTAGGCCTATTTGTGCGGCGAAGTGCATTGGATCACGGTGTTATTTCAGCCCGATGGCAAGGAAGGGGCGGTACCACGCACTCTCACTTGAAAAAAAAAAAAAAAAAAGCTGCGAATTCTTCAGGAACTCGATCAAAGCGGCTTGGCCAAGAAAGAGGTGGTGAAAAAATACACCCAGAAATCGAAATTTTCTGGTAGGCCCTCTATTCTTTCAATGTATTTAAAAGCCTCTTAATTCAAACTCCACCATTTGGTTCATTCATACTTTTTGCAGTTCTATACCAGAAAACACTTGCTGCTTCGCCACTACTATTTAAAAATTTGCGTGCTTATATAATCTTAAGTCTAAAAATGAAAAGTAAGCACCTGAGGCCTTCAAGAAAAAAAAGCTTTGCAAGTAAACAAATGTTTCAAACGCAGTACACGCATGGTAAACCGTGATGCGTCTCAAGTGGTATCGAGCACTTTGTGCTGAAGGCACATACCTATAGCAATGAAGCAGTTGGCCATTCATGATTTCTTTAAAAGGTGTGATCAGCAGTAAACGGCCAATAAACTTGTGGACTTTACACCTCTGCTTTCTGTTCACTGCGTGCAGTTAGGGTTTAAAACTATTCGAAAAATTTGAAATGTGACAAAATCAATGCCTAATGATAATGTGTGGTGTCATCTCACCCATAGTCAGCAATCTGAGATATTCTAATAATTCAAACTCCTTAATAATTCAGGCAAACTTCAGAGGTCCCTTCGAGTTTGAATTAACGAGAGTCGACTGTATCGCATCAGTTTTTCATGCACTGCTGCAGCTTGGGCAATTGGTGTACTTTCATCCCATGACCTGTCACTGCCTTATCTCTTCCAGGCACTTTGGGTGCCTGCATGTTCAATGCAGTGCGTGGGTGGGCATTTAAAAGAACTACGTCCCTTTCCAAAATCTATTATACTGTCACGCGCTAAGAGCTCGAACAAACGTACAAAGGGACGCGACTGTCCCAAATCTCAGAGACAAAGAAGGACGTTCCGCTGGCAAGGGTTGCTCGTCTTCGTCTTCCTCGTTCACCGGCACAGAACTGACCCACTGTTCACTGGCACAGAACACCAGGTGGCATTACTCCTCCTCCCAAGAGAGCATCGACCCGATGCTCAAACAAAAGTGTGCACAGCAGTCGGTCGAAGTAGGTAACATAAAGAAACATTAAACAAATTAGTGCACGAGAGAAAATGCGTCCTGGGCCCGGCAATCGGAAATAAACGGCATTCACTGTTCACATGAACACTGGCACAAGAAGAAAATTCACATCACCGCATAAAGTATGGTTTTAGGCGGACTACGTGTACAGTCTCTGGGCGTGGTAACCTGCGCTGGGATGATGGCGAGCCTCCGTCTTGAACCACATAGTAGTTCATGTCGCTCACACGTCTGAGTACTTTGTAAGGTCCAAAGTACTTCCTCAAGAGTTTCTCACTGAGACCTCGCCGCCTAATGGGTGTCCAAACCCAAACTTGGTCACCAGGTTCATAATTAAATTCTCGATGGTGGGTGTTGTACCGCCGTGCATCTGCGCACTGTTGAGTTCGGATGTGCACACGGGCCAGTTGACGTGCTTCCTCAGCGCGCTGAATGTACTCATTGATGTCGGGGGCTAATTGGTCGAGCTTGTCGATGTCCTCATATGGAATCATGGCATCCAGCATAGTTCTAACATCTCGACCATAAACGAGCCGGAATTGTGTGAAGCGTGTAGTTTCCTGCGTTGCAGTGTTATACGCAAATATTACGTACGGCAGGATGTCGTCCCACGTTTTGTGCTGCACATCCACGTATATAGAGATCATGTCAGCTAGCGTTTTGTTTAGACTTTCTGTTAAACCATTACTCTGAGGGTGATACGCAGTGGTCTTTCGATGGGTTGTGTAACTCAACCTGAAGATATCATCCAAGAGTTTCGCTGTGAATGATGTCCCTCGATCAGTGATGACATGTGACGGGGCGCCATGCCGTAGCACAATTTGATGCATAAAAAAACTGGCAACTTCAGATGTGGTCCCTCGTGGCAACTTTTGTCTCGATCGGTTGTAGATGGCCTGCAGGCTTTAAATGTGGTGTCTTGCGACGCTGGCATTCACGGCATCCCTTCACGTAGCGTTTGACACAGGAAGACATTTTAGGCCAGTAGTAGAGTTGTCGCACTCGATCCATAGTTCTGGAGTAGCCCAGATGGCCAGATGTGGGCTTTGTCGTGGCAAGCTAATAAGACGTCATTGCGGAGGGCTTCAGGCACGACGAGAAGATGAGATCTGTCACCAGCATCGGCGTTCCTTTTGTATAAGACGCCATTTCGTAGGCAAAATGATGGCAACGTTCGCAACATCGAACGAGGAATGGGCGCAGTGCCACCTTCTAAATGATCTATAATCATTCTTAGATTGGCGTCATTTCGTTGATGCGACATCAGATCCGGTCCGCTGGCAGTTGCCACGAAGGCGCCGTCTTCTTCTGCGCTAGTACTGGCGGATTGAAGAGGTGCTCGTGATAGCGTGTCGGCGTCTTCGTGCTTTTTGCCTGACTTGTACACGATGGTGACATCAAATTCCTGAAGGCGCAGACTCCATCGTGCTAATCTTCCTGAAGGGTCTCGTAGATTGGTCAACCAGCACAAAGCATGATGGTCAGTCACCACTTTAAATGGTCTTCCATAGAGATATGGCCTAAACTTTGTAATTGCCCAAATAACGGCGAGACATTCTTTCTCTGATGTGGAATAGTTAGATTCTGCGCGAGACAGTGTGCGACTTGCGTAGGCTATTACCCGTTCAATGCCATCTTGTCTTTGTACCAAAATAACTCCAAGACCAATATTGCTGGCATCAGTGCGTACTTCAGTGTCAGCATCTTCATCGAAGTGGCCGAGCACGGGAGGGGAAGAGAGCCGGTGCTGTAGTTCCGCAAAGGCAGTCTGCTGTTCGTCAGCCCAGACAAATGGTGTGTCATCACGCGTGAGGCGTAATAGTGGCTCCGTAATGTTAGAGAAATTTTCAATAAAGCGCCGGTAATAAGCGCACAGACCCAGAAATCGTCGAAGACTTTTCTTGTCAGTTGGAGGTGGAAAAGCGGTGACGGCAGCAGTTTTGTCAGGATCAGGCCGAACACCAACGGCGCTCACGACATGACCAAGAAACTTTAATTCTTCGTAGCCGAAATGACATTTCTCAGGCTTGAGTGTGAGATCGGCCGATCTAATGGCTTCGAGCATATTCTGAAGGCGCCGAAGATGCTCATCAAACGTTTCTGAAAACACAACGACATCATCGAGGTAGACAAGACAGCTTTTCCACTTGAGGTCTGCCAGGACGGTGTCCATCATTCGCTGGATTGTGGCTGGAGCGGAACAAAGGCCGAAAGGGAGCACTTTGAATTCATAAAGGCCATCC